TGTAACCTAGTGGTAACATGCTTTCTGCATGGTAAACTAACATGTACTCCTTAGTCCTTCTCAGGTACTTGAGTATATGCTTCACCGAAGACCAATGTTCCCGTCTAGGATTATTTTATATCTAACTACTAAGCCAAAGATGTAGCTAATATTCGGCCTAGTACACAGCATTGCATACATCTCCTTAGACTTCCTATTGCCGAAACATAAGAAACTGCCTTCATTTTCTCTATCTCTTGTGACGTCTTAGGAGACATCTGCTTAGACAGAGGTATTCCTTTCCTTGAAGGTAAGGTACCTTTCATGGAATTCTGCATGCTGAATCTAGCCAAGACAATATCTTTATATGAAGACTGTGATAAGCACAACATTCTCTTCTTACGGTCTCGAACGACCCTAATACCAAAAATGTGTCTTGATTCTCCTAAGTCCTTCATATCAAACTGCTTAGCCAACCACACTTTTTCGTGTGACAACTCTTACTTACTATTTCCAATAAAAAGTATGTCATCTACGTAAAACACACGAAACACCACCATGCTCCCACTGATTTTCTTGTACACACAGTTCTCATCCAGATATTGAGTGAACTTGTACGACTGGATCACCTCATCGAACCGAATGTTCCAAGATCTTGAAGCTTGCTTCAGTCCAAAAATATACCGATTAAGCTTACACACTAGATGCTCACGTACCTTAGCAATGAAAACCTCTAGTTGTTGCATATAGATGTCCTCCTGAAGGTTCCCGTTAAGGTAAGTCGTCTTGCTACCATATGTCAGACCTAATAATCCATATGAGCGGCTACAGCCACGAGAATCCAAATGAACTTAAGCATGGCTACAGGCGAAAAGGTCTCATCATAGCTTATACCCTTAATTTGGGTATAACCTTTCACGACAAGCCTATCTTTGAAGGTTTACACTTCCCCATTTGATCCTCTCTTTCTCTTATAGATCCAATTGCATCCAATGGGTCGTACCCCATCGGGTGGTTCTACAAGATCCCAGACCTGATTGGAGTCCATTGACCCCATTTCAGCATTCATTGCAACATTCCATGAATCTGCATTTTTATCTTGGAGTGCCTCTCCAAGACCTATCCATCAGTCGGGTAACTGACAAACCCTCCCACTACAACGAGGTATTGTTTGCACTGGTACACTCTCAATGTGTCGTGTTGCAGTATTATGTGATGTATCTACTTGTGCACTCGGTAAGAAACTATTATCTTCACCCCTTAACTACTCGTGGGCTTGTGATTCATAATATAGTCTTCTTCCAAGAATCTAGCGTTCGTGCTAACAATCACCTTATGATCCTCAGGACTATAAAATAATCCACCTTTCGTTCCCTTGGGATAGATAACAAACACTCGTGCTTTCGCGTTTCTCCAACTTGCCAGCTTCCTGCATTAACACGTGTGCAGGACTACCCCACGCTCAAAACTGTGCGAAAATGGGCTTGCGCCCTTTCCACATTTTATAAAGAGTAGTCTCAACCGACTTTGAAGGAACCATGTTCAGGATATACGATGTTGTTTCCAATGCCATACCCCAGAACGAATCTGGTAACTTTGAATAACTCATCATCAACCTAACCATTTCTATAAGAGTCCTATTTTTTTCGCTCTGCAACCCCGTTCTGCTGAGGCGTGCCAGGTGCAGTAAATTTGGATTTCAATCAAGCTTCTCCACAACTGCCCGATACTCCTAGAATTTCTCAAAACATTCGAACTTGCGGTGCAATAGATAGATGTATCCAAATCTCGAGTAATCATCTATAAAGGAGACAAAGTACTCGAAACCTATTCTAGCCTATATATACATAGGACCACACAAATCAGAATGAATCAATTCTAGCACTTTTTGGCTCTTATACCCCTTTGCCGAAAACGGCCTCTTGGCCATCTCATTTCAGGCATGATTCGCAAGTCAGGCAATGATCTTCTAATGGACCAAGGAGTCCACTAGATACCAAATTTTGAATCCTCCTAAGGTTGATGTGCCCAAGTTTAAGGTGCCAAAGATATGTTTGATTCATCTGCGAAGACTTCTTCCTCTTATTAGATTTAATCATGATATTATTCAATTCAGTTTGTTGCATTGTGGAAGGGTTTGGTTTAAGAACATAATTGCCAACTAATGAACCAGAACAAATGAAACATATTCCATAGCGAACAACAACCAAGTCATCAAACGTAAATGAAAAACCATCTATAATAAGCTTAGAAACTAAAACAAGATTCTTTCTAAAACTAGAAACATAAAGGCAATCTCTTAAAACCAAACTACTCCTATCAAACGATGAAGTAACGTTTCCCACTGCAACAGCTGCCACTTTCCTAGCATCGCCCATGTAGATGGTGACCTCTCCCTCCTTAAGCCGTCTAGTTTTCTAGAACCACTGCAATGAATTGCAGACATGATCAGTGGCTCCAGTATCTACACACCAGGTTCTTGTATATACAACCGCTAAACATGTTTCAACAAAATAAACGAGAGAGTTACCTTTCTTGTGTTGGGATCTTTGAGGATCTCGTTATGTACAAATCACGAATTCAATAGCAAATGTAAACCTATATGCAGTGGAATTAAAGGTTTGACATAGAAAACTTACGGCGTAAAATTTTTGGCGATCTATCTGATCTTCCGGAGGGCCGTACACAACACATGAACTGGATTGGATCACGAACGAAACGTCGGGCTCACAATCGAATCGTGTGGGCTGGCTGGCCGGTTCGGACGCGAGGTCGCGTGGTGGAGATGCCGGTGCATGTTGCGGGGCTTGCAGGTGGGCGCGTGCGGTGTCAGGCTGCTTCGTGGTGGTTCCGACGGACCTGGTCACGACGGCGATCGGCTGGGTCGCGGCGTCCGATTGGGCTGACTCGGCTAGTCGCTGTCGGCGGTCCTCGGGCTCGGGCACGTGGATCGTCAACTTCGTGTAGATGATCACCGGTTCTTGAATACATATGGATCTTCTACTGCATATCTCAAATACCCTCTTCAACTTGTACCGGTGGAACAACAAGAAGAAGATAAAACTCGAACGAGAACTGAGAGAGGGAGAGAGAGATGGGCGGCGTGTATTATGAATTGTCCCTTCTCTTCCCATGAGCTTAATGATGTATATATAGAGCTACAATAGGGACCCTTAAGAGATTAGGAATAGGGCTCATTAATTAACTAAAATACTTGTGGGTCAGCCCACTTATTCTTATTACTTAAATAATATTAAATGAGCCACCAACATAAAATTATTGTACTCCCTTTTCTTAGCCTAATTTACAATTGAGACTCCAGTAATAATTATTCAATTTATCTCCCATGTTTAAGATATAATGTCAATTAATTCATTCGATTACGGACAATTAAGAATTAATTAATTTATTATTATTTCACCGAAGCTAGCGCTCGTTCATCACATTATTACTATGCCGGAATTTAATCCACCTGCAGGGTTTAGTATAATTATCCATCATGAACTCACTCCGGGGACATCATCAAACTAAACGCACATGGTGGCCGTAAATATCCTAACAGCACATCATACATGTAGCAATATTACCCAAGATAGAGGGTATATTGGTCCAGTTTACTAAACCTCACCCATGTGAATCAAAGTAATAAATATTACACATATATGTCTGTTTAATATCTTACGGGTTAAGAGTACGCAGTAATTAACCGAGGCCTAGTTCGTTTACAACGATCAGTATAAAATGAACTGCTCATCTCTGGGATCCTATTCATTACATAAATTTACTAGTGCAACTAATCAGTCAAAACAAGCTGTACAGTTGACACTAAAACCGATCTGATGGGGTGTTCATGTCCATCTAGGATGTGAACCATTAATTCTTGTTTCGCGAGTAACTGATAGTATGATCTTCGGTTCGGCCGATGGTGAACCACACTATCTAATGCAAAACAATAGAACGTAGAACTTGTTTAATTTAACAAGCATTGGTTGAGTTCATAGGTATGAAGTCCATTCCTAAGGATCTCTTGGAGCAATATTGCTTGTGTTTCCAAATCACTAAAAATTTACTCAGTTTGCTAAAGACAACATAATGTATATTAAGGTCAACGCCAGAGTCAAAACCGAAAATCAACGAATCTCACCGAAAGTCAACAGTAAACGCCAGAGTCAACGATCAACAATCAAATCAAAATAGTATTTAAATAATTAAAATAATAAAAATAAAAAATTATTTAAATAAAGAGTTAAATCTTACTCACACATCTTGATACCTATCTAGTTGCTAAGATTGAGGTTGTGTTTGGTAAACCAAATAAGCTAGCTTATAGCTTATTTGGTTAGCTTATAAGCTTCTTGTATTCAAATAAGCCCCGTTTGGTAGGACGAGCTTATTTAAAAAGCTCGAGCTTATTTGATAAGCTTGTTTAGGTAGCTTTTCAAATAAGCTGGTTGAATTTTTTATTCTAACTAGCTTATCAGCTAATTTTACCAAACACTTTTATCATATAAGCTAGCTTTTCAACTATAAGTCATAAGCTATAAGCTATAAGCTCGAAAATTACATATAAGCTATAAGCTAGCTTATCAGCTATCAGCTAGCTTATCAGCTAGTTTTACCAAACATAGCCTGAAGCTCGCAGTCATTTTAAAAATGTGTCCTCATTTGTATCAAAGTTTAAAGTGCTTTTTTCACACTTGCACAAAATTTATGGAAGAAACCAAAATTGAATAATGGACGAAACATACAAATAT